TGCGCTGCAGCGCCACGTCCGCATCCACACTGGTACGGATCCACTCCCTGCCTCCCCCGGGCGTTTCCTTCCCCTGGTGCTCCCCTCCCACCTTCTCCATTTCCCCAGGAGAGAAGCCGTGCCAGTGCTTGATCTGCGGCAAAGCCTTCACTCAGGCGAGTTCCCTGATCGCCCATGTGCGCCAGCACACCGGGGAGAAGCCCTACGTGTGCGAGCGCTGCGGGAAGAGGTGAGGATTCCCTTGGAAAACCAGGAGGGGCACTTGGCTGGTGCTGGAGATCAGCGGGCACGTCCACTCACCCTCYGCAGCAGGGCACCATTCCGTGGAGGGTGGATGGAGGTGCCAGGGCGTCACCACTGATCATGGTGACCGCAATRTCACTCCCAAAGGTTCGTCCAGTCAAGCCAGCTGGCCAACCACATCCGCCACCACGACAACATCCGGCCCCACAAATGCACTGTCTGCAACAAAGCCTTTGTCAATGTGGGCGACCTGTCCAAGCACATCATCATCCACACGGGTGGGTACCTCCCCAAAGCCTCCCCTGCCCCCACGCACAGTCCCCTTACCCATCCCCAACCCCCTGTCCCCTCCCCAGGGGAGAAGCCGTTCCTGTGTGACAAGTGCGGGCGGGGCTTCAACCGTGTGGACAACCTGCGCTCCCATGTGAAGACTGTGCACCAGGGCAAGGCTGGCATCAAGATCCTGGAGCCCGAGGAGGGTGACGAGGTCAACATCGTCACGGTGGCATCCGATGACATGGTGACATTGGCCACCGAGGCGCTGGCTGCCACCGCTGTCACGCAGCTCACAGGTGAGCTGGGGATCCAGGGGTGTTCCCAAAGGGAATTCATCCATGGGGAGCAGTTTGGGAGCCAAACAGAAAGGAAATGTAATGGTGGGGTGCAGCTGGGAGGTCCTGGAGATGGAAATTTATCCACAGGGGGCAACTGGCCGGTTCCTGAGCTGTCCCCAGACAGAGATTCTTTTATGGTGGTGCAGCTTCAGGGTCTCAGGTGTCATCCCAAAAGGGAGATTTACCCACGGGAATGCAGCTTGGGAGGCTTGGAGGTGTCCTGAAAGGGAGATTTATCCTTGGGGGGAAGTTTKGAGGCCCTGATGCCATCCCCCATCCCTGGGGAACAGCTTCGATGTTCCATGAGCCCAAAAAGAAAACTTACCTGTGGGGGACAGCTGGAGGGGCCTGGAACTGTCCCAAARGTGAGGTTAATTTATGTGGGTGCAGCTTAGAGTTCCCAGGAGCCACCCRAAAAGGGAAACTTACCCATGGGATGCAGCTTGGGCATCCCAGAACTGTCATAAAAGGGGCGTGGATCCCCAAGGAGCAGCTTGGGGTTCCAAGAGACACCCCAAAAATGAGATTTTTCCATGGGGGGCAGCCTAGTGGTCCCAGGAGCACTTCCAGAGGGGAAATGTATCCCTAGGGAGCAGCTTGGGTGCCTTGGGGCTGTTCTGAAAGGAAAGTTTATCCATGAGGTACAGTTTGAGAGGCCCARGAGTCACCCCAAAAGGGAGATTCATTTGTGGGGGCAATCAGGCTCAGCCATGGGGTGCAGCTTGGAGGTCCCGGAGCCCCCAGAGGTGTTGGAGGTTTATCCAAGCCTGCAGCACCTGAGGCAGGAAATCCTCCTGGAGCTGCTCCCATCCCCAACACCAGGCAGGATCTGTGGCCAGGGGGCCTTCCTGCCCAGCCGGGCCCCCGCAATGTCTCTGTCCCCGTTTGTCCCCGCAGTGGTGCCCGTGGCRGCCGCGGTGACCGCGGACGAGACCGAAGCACTTAAAGCCGAGATCACCAAAGCGGTGAAACAGGTGCAGGAGGCAGGTGAGACTGGSAATACCGGGAATACCGGGCTGGCTCCTCCCATCCCATCACCCCAGTGCCACCGGGAACACCGGGTCGGYTCCTCCCATCCCACCGCTTTAGTGCCACTGGGAATATCGGGCTGGTTTATCTCATCCCAATCCATCATCATCATCATCACCCTAGCACCTCCGGGAGTGCCAGCTCCTCTCATCCCACCACCCCAGCACCTCCAGGAATGCCGGTAGCGCCTCCCCCAGTGTTGTGTGTGTGCCTCTGTGTCTCCCCGCAGACCCCAACACGCAGATCCTGTACGCCTGCGATTCCTGCGGGGAGAAGTTCCTGGACGCCAGCAGCCTGGCGCAGCATGTGCGCATCCACACGGCCCARGCGCTCGTCATGTTCCAGGCGGAGCCGGACTTCTACCAGCCCTACGGCGGCGGGAGCTGGCCGGCCGAGCAGGTCATCCCCGCCGGGGAGCTCCTCTTCCGGCCCCGCGACAGCGCCCCCGAGCCGCCCCCGGCCACCGCCCCGCCCGGCCCCGCCGAGGGACCGCCCCCGGCACCCGAGTGACCCCGCCCCGCCCAGCCTTTATTTAAAAAACAGCTCGGAAACGGTGTAAAAAGTGTATTTCTGGAAGGAAAGAGATGGAATAATAAATTGCAATATTTTGTAAGGGTTGGTGCTCGGGGAGGCTGGGGGATGCTGTGGGGGGAGGAGGGGACTGAGATATTCACTAATGTGAGTGTGATGTGTTAAAAATGGCGGTAAATGAGATGATAAAGGTAATAAAAAGGTAGTTCAAGGTTTTCAACCCCACCCAGGGCAGCAGATGGGGATTTCTGGGGTAAAGCCCAGGAAGACCCTCACCCACTCTGCCCCCTGCCCCGAGGGAGGGGTTGGAGGAGGGGAGACGCCCCTGTTTTGGGGTAAAAAAAAACGAACAGATAAAAGGTGCTGCTGCATGGTAGCAGACATTGTACATTCAATATGCTTTTGTGTGTCCAGCTGGACACTCAGTCCTGCTCTGTCGACTCAGAGCCCCCCCAGCTTCCCAGGGCAGGGAGGGAAGGGGGATACTTAGACAGGGGAGTGTCTGGCCAGGACAGACAGGCACACAGACACTTCCTTGGGTGCTTGGACACATTTCGACATCCAGCTGGACACCTGGACATCCATGGGCTCGCCTGTACAACCATCYATGTGTCCATCTGTCCTCATCCCTGTTCCACAGTCYAGGGGGTTGGAAGATCCAGGACAGGCTGTGCTGTCCAGCTGGACACAGGACAGGGCTGTGGATGGGGGATGTTCAGCTGGAAAGGGACGGACGGATGGATGGACAGACACAGGGATGGTTGGACATGCAGACACATGGACAGGACATGTCCAGTTGGACACACGGGCAGTTCTGTGGATGGACACATGGTTGGTCACATTCACAGCCAGACGAACCTTGGCATGGACAGTTGGACAGGCGCACATCCAGCTGGACACAKGGACAAGGTTTGTGCAATGAACACATGGACAGACACCCATCCAGCAGGACACTCCCCTCCTCCACCCATGGGCATAAATGCCCCAAAAACGCACTTTTTATCCCCAAGGTCCCTCTCAAAAGCCAGCGATTTCACACCCCCACCCCTCCCTGCTCACACCCCCACCCTGCCCCACCCCATTCCCACTGACCATTGATTTGGAGTTGGGCTCAGGCCGGACCTTTCCTCCATTCCTAGAGCCTGGGGTGGGAGATGGACACAGGGATGGGCCTGGACAGATGGACACGGTGGAGCGGGAGTGTGAGGGGGGAGGGGTGGGGGTGTAAAATCGCTGATTTTGGAGAGGGGTCTTGGGAGCAAAAAGTGCATTTTTGGGGCATTTATTGCATGGGTGGAGGAGGGGAATGTCCAGCAAGGCACAAGCTCAGCTGGCTGTCCAGCTGGAATACATGTTTGTCCAGTTGGATGTCCATCCATCTAGATGTGCCTCATCCCTGTGTCCAGCTGGACTTGCACCCATCCATCTTTCCCACTGGACACAGAACTGTCTGTGTGTCCATCTGTGAACCCATCCATGTGTCCATTCATCCAGCCATCCGTGTGTTCCGCCAGACGTGCCGCTGGCTGTGGCTGCTTGGATGTGCCACCTGTGTCTGTATGGCTGTCCATGTGTCCATCCATCTGTCCATTCTCAGTGCTTTGGGTGGGGGAAGGGCCCAGGACAGACAGGTCCCAGCCCATCTGGGTGGATGGACACGGCACGGACACCTGGACACACAGACAGTTCACACTCGGCTGGACATGTGGACAGTGGCCCCCAGTCCCCACAGGCCTTGCACAACCCCCCAGAAATGCCCTTTTTAGCCCCAAAGACCCCACTCAGAAACCAGCAGGGTCGGACTCTCCCCCCTGCCCTGATMACCCATGTGTCCATCTGTCTGAACACCCATCTGTGTCTGTGGCTCCGTTCATTGCCTCAATTCCACCTCYCTGGGCAAGGCCCAGCCTGACCCCTGTAGTGGGACTTAGGGGCTACTCTGGGGTGTTCCTGGCCAGGCTCCCAACACCCATCTTTATCCTGGAGCACCAGCAGCACCTTTTTGTCCTGTTTTTACCCCAAAACAGGCTCAGTTCTGTTCCTCCTCCCACCCTCAATCCGGGGCTGTGGGGTGAGGGTCTYCCCTGCTTTTGGGGGCCACGCCCCAAATTCTGCCCTAAAGCTCCTTTCTTACCACATCTGCTTCAACTCACACACACTAGGCTGGATTAGGCTTCCCACTTGCATCTGGCAGGGATTTGAGTGGAAAAGCAGTGAAATACATCCAGTCTGGCTTTTCTTTTTTAAAAGATGAAGATCAGTAATCCAGGGAGAATTTTTGTTAAGGAGCTGGTGCGTGGTGAGATCAAAAGTGGGGGCAAACCCTGCAATTTCAGTTTTCACAGCATTTACAACACAAGAGGRAGAATCTAGAGAAATTTGGTTTAGTGATGGAATGACCATTTTTTTGGGGTTGTTTTCACAGGAGAGGTGGGTGACCCCTCCCAGGGAGCCCCCAAACCTCCCTTTCCCCATCCCCCCACTCCCCAGTGCCGAGGGACGAGGTCGGGGCACCGACGTGTTTTGTATTTTTTAATAAAGTTCGTAATCCAATGGACACACAAAACAAAACTGCGCTAAAAAAAAAAAAAAAAACAAAAAAAAAAAAAAAAAAAAAAAAACAAAAACAAAACCAAGTTCCATAAATTAATTAAGTGTTAGGGGAGGCGAGGGGGGCTGGGGCAGAGTCTTTGTACAAGTGTATAACACTTCCACAGCTGATGAGACGAGGGGATGTTTAAATGAAGCGCACTTACAAATGAGTGACAATACAAAGTCTGAGTATGAAAATAAGATTTTTTTTCTCTGAAAACACATTTTTGGCACAGATTAAAAAAAAATGTATGTTGTGGGGATTTGATTTTTTTTTAAAGTCAGTATTATATATATTTATATATATTATATATATATTTATATATACACACACCCACTGAGTTCTGCATATCCCACCAGGAAGGAAAAAAGCTCTCCCTTTTGTTTTTTGTTTTGTATTTTCTTGTTTTTCAGTGTAAACTGTACATCCCAGATGAAAAGAAGACGGCTGCAGCAGGGGCAGGTGGAGGAAGAGGAAGGTTCACATCCAGAAAAAATACCCCCCCCCCCAAAAAAAGACACCAACCCCAAAAGAAGAAAAAAAACCCCAAAAATCCCAACGAAACAACCAATAAAATAAAAAAATGACTGTGAAATGCTCCTTGACCCACAAATCTCAGCAGAGTCCCTGCGGAACGTCCACGGCACGCGGTCAATGTGTGTCAAGACATCCAGAACGTCACAGCGTCTCCAACTGTGCAAAGTCCGAGTCACTAATTTAGTGCAAAGGCAGTTCAGGTTCTTATTTATTTTTTTCCTTTTTTTTTTGTTAAAAAAAATAAGCCATCCTTTTCTCTTTTTTTTTTTTTTTTCTTTTTTTGTGTGTGTGGTTTTTTTTTCCCCAAAAAGGAGGCACGGGAACCCAAGCCCAGTCCACCTGCTGAGTGCATCAGTTGTCCATAACCTAAAGCAACATGTAAACATCTAGGGTTTGATCGAGGCCAGTCGGACAGGAGGCTGGTTTCTGGCAGCATTTGTCGTGTTTCATAACCTTCTCTCCTTCTTTTGATTTATTTTAAAATTAATTTTCCGTGTGGTTTTTGTGGGCTTTTTTTGTTGTTGTTTGTTTGTGGTTTTTTTGCTGCAGGGCCTTGCAAAAATTAAAAAATAAAAAATTGAAATAATCGAAAAGTCAGTAACTGGTAAACAGCTCATACCGATGCGATGACAATCATCAGGTGAGGAGAGATGTTGGAGATGCTCGCGAGGAGGTCCGGGGCCAGGCGGGACAGGTGGCTTTCCGAAAACTCGCAGGGTGGGAAGATCTGCAGAACGTAGGCAGGCTGCAGGGAGGGAAAAAAACACAGATTAGAGACAGCCCACACCTAAAAATGYTTCAAAATGGGACATTTCAGTGATGTTTTGGGTGTTTAAAGGATCCTAAATCTTGTATAAAAAAGACAACATGATGTGGTTTCCCAGGCAGGGAGTTTYCTACAGCACAGCTGTAAAGAGCTGSCTGATTTTGCTGGGAAAGGCAGAAAAATTCCCATTAATTATYATTTTAGTGGTTGCTCCKAGCGCTGGCCACTCATTCTGAGCTCTTTACAGCCAGAATTAAATTACARGTTAAATTTGATTCAGTGCAGCTGCACACCTGAAATAAATACTGCACGGCACCAAATGCATTTCACAAGAAAGCACCAGCTGTCCTGGAAAAATCAGGGTTTGGGGAAAAAACAAGGACTTCAGCGCTGAAGAGCTGGGGAACAGATTTGGGTTTTCAGCCCAAAATGCTGAACTGAGAACGCACCACACACACATTTGGGATTTTTTGGCTTTGGGGTCTCTTGTATCAATTCCATCGATGATTACAGTGATTCCATCAACGGCTTCATGGATCCCAGCCATGTATTCAATGGGTGATGGGAACGTGGGGGGGTGTTTGAGCAGTAAAACCCAGAGCTCCGGCAGAACTGTGAGCTGTCCATGCCATTGTGGAGCTGTCTGGGTTCCCTGGGGGCTCCCTGCCATGCCTGTACCTGGTTGGAGCCAGGGTTGGGGACGTTAATGATGCCTGCAGCCTGCTTGGCCTGCAGGTAACTGATGAAGGCGGCCTTGAGCGACTCCGTCTGACTGACCACGTCCTCCTGGTCACGGCCACAGGGCAGGGCCAGCAGCAGGCAGTAATCGCTCTCCACCTGCAAGGGAAGGACACAGACTCAGGGAAATGCTGCATGAATGGGTGTTTCCCAGCCATACATCATTCTCTGGGAGAAAACACTTGCTTTGAACTCCTTGATGTTAAAATTTGCTWACTTGGGAAGCTGTGGCTGCCCCTGGATCCCTGGGYGTGTCCCAGGCCAGGCTGGACAGGGTTTGGAGMACCCTCAGGTGGTGGAAGGTATCTCTGTCCATGGCAGGGATGGAATGGGATGAGCTTTAAGGTCCCTCYAACCCAAACCAGCCAGGGATTCTGYRATTCTGACACTTGSTGAGAGCAYGGCCAGACCAGAGGGTRGAAAKGACTGAAAWTGGATTTCCATGGCCACCYGAACACCACTTCCCACCTCACTCAGACACACAGGTGCCAGTGGCAATTTGTCCCAGGGCTGAGGGTGACTTCAAAGGCTTCCCAGCTCTCATTCCCTTATCCATAAATGCAATGCAAGAGCTACTGCTCAGAACCTGCAATCCATGTTACACTCTGGGGGCTGAAGGAATCACGGTGCTAACACCAGAATTCCAAGAGTCATACGATCTCCTGAACTGGAGGGAACCTACAGGAACCAAGTCCAACTCCTGGCCACACACAAGATCCCAATAATCCCACCCTGTGCCTCAGAGCGGTGCCCAAACACTCCTGCAGCTGCGGCAGCCCTGGGGYTGTGCCAATTCCCTGGGGAGCCTGGGCAGTGCCCCAGCACCCTCTGGGTGGAGACAACAGTGAGCCGAAATTCCTGGAAGACGCAGCTGTTGAGACCAGCCCTGCACTGAGCACGGGGATCCACCATCCCCACACGCCCCCTGCCCAGCCCGGCTCCAAGCACCAGGATCCCCCACACACCTCCTGCCCCGTGCCCAGCCCAGCTCTGAGCACAGGGATCCTACACGACCCCTGCCCCATCCCCAGCTCACATCTGAGCACAGGGATCCCCCTGCCCGTGCCCAGCTCTGAGCACAGGGATCCCCACATGCGCCCTGCCCCATTCCCAGCTCAGATCTGTGCACAGGGATCCCCACATGCCCCCTGCCCAGTCTAGCTCTGAGCACAGGGATCCCCCCTGCCCGTGCCCAGCCCAGCTCTGAGCACAGGGATCCCTCTGCCCGTGCCCAGCCCTCACCATCATTCTCCGTGCCACCCCCTCGAGCTGGGAGGCCTCAAGCCGCATGCGCTGTGCGATCCGCAGCGGGGGCCCTCCCTCGGGTGCCGGCAGTGACCGGTGTGCCAGGACGTTGTTCCCGGACACAAAGTGCAGCTGCACGGCCGCCGTGTCGTTCTTGAGAGCCAGGAGACCCTGCCAGACAATGGGGTATTTCTGGGAAGAGAGGGAGGAGAATCGTTACACGCAAAGTGAGGCGAGTGGGTTCTGAAATCCTGTCTGAGCTGCTCYGCAGCTTTAAAGGCTCAGCAGAGATGTAACACCAGATCAACCCTCCACACGYCAGGCTCAGGTTACATCCTGCTAAATGAGGAATTCAATCCTTTTCCTTMTAGCTGGCCAATGTGCCTGGGTGGATCCCATCATCCCAATCCCTCAGCTGCCCACCCACCAGCACAAGGCCGTTCCCAAACACTATTTTCCCTTTTACAAATGAATGAATTGAGAAATGGTAACAGGAGAAGAGGTGCTCAAGRTTATACGGGAAGTATTTGGTGCTGAACACAACTCTTAGCTCCTTGCTGGTACCTGTTCCTCACTGCCTCCTTCCTTGTTCTTATTTTCTATGCTTGGGAGAGCCGTTTTTTCTTTTTATTTATATGAAATACACCAACACTCACCCCTGCCCATGAGGAAATGCTTTCCAGAAAAATGCTGACAATAAAATTGACTTGGAACAGTAAACATGGCTAAAATCCATCAGGGACAAAACAGCCCAGAAACCAAATAATGCCTTTTCTGCATCTGAAGCGTTTGATGTGAGAAAGGTCAGATTTGGTGCTACTGGTGAGACAGAACCTGGTGATTTCCCCCCGATCAGGCACACGACACTCACTGTCAGCAGCTGGACCATGTCCACCGGTCTCTGGGACACCGGGTGAGGTGACGGCTCCTGCTTGAGCGTGGCCTGGGGCTCCGGGCGGCTGAGGGGCGGCCCTGACGTTGTGGGGATGAACATGGACTGCTTGGGCACGGCCTGCGGCTGGTGCGGCGACGGCAGCTCCTGCTTCATGGAGATGGCGACGGGCGAGGGGTACGAGGTCTGGCTCGTGTCGCCCTGCGCCCGCTGCAGGTGGACGTGCGAGTCCATCTGTGCCGCGTGCCGGTTCACGGGGGTGTGGTGGCTCTGCTCCGGCCCTGCTGCTGCCGCGCCCTTGGGATCCTGCGGGATCTGAGGCGTCTTGCTGCGGACCGGCTGGCTGGGGTGCGAGTGCTCGCCCTCCGGAAGACCCTGCGAAACGGGCAGGGGGAAAAGGGAAGTTTGTTAGGCTGAGGGTGTATCCAATCCCATTAGAAGGCTGCCAAAACACTGTCAGATTCCTGGTGGAGACATCCATGTCACAGCACCAGCCCTGCAGCAGTGCCTGGGTCAGTCCTCCACTTCCAAGACCACCTGAGCTGAAACTCCACTCCCTGCATCCTGCCCCTGAATCTTCAGCCTCACCATCCCTCCAAGGGTCCCTGACCTACGCATCATCTCAATGTGCTSACAGTTCTTCCACCGACACCTCCACATCCACAAACCTGCAGGCAACTTCACCCTTCCTGGCTGGAGCCCCAAAGGAGCTCAGGAAATGCCTTGTCTCAACTTCCTCTGATGCTAAGCAACATCTGAACCCCATTTTCCCCAAGAAACAGCTCAAAATGCTCCAGGTTCCAGGAAGAATTGAGCTCCAGATTCCAGGGAGACTGACAAAGGGTTTTGTTTCTCACCTGAGACGGGGTCATGCTCCGGGAGGGCAGCCCGATGGGCGAGGTGCCCGGGAACTGCGGGTGCCCGAGCTGCGCCGTGTGGTAATTCCTCATGTCGCCATACACGGAACGGTAATCGTGGAAGGAGCTGCTGGCGGGGTGCATGATCTGCACCCCATGTGGGACCACCACGGGCTGCGTCAGGGGCAGCCCGGGCAGCTGGCTACCCGAGGGCACGCTGAGCAGCCGTGGCTCACTGTGCGGAGAGTGGGCCATCTTGCCTTCCGAGGATTTGGGAGTCTCTTTCCCAGGCTGTGGGGTCTTACTGACCGGGGGGGTTTTGACGGCCCCTTCAGGCGTCCGGGATTGTCGCGTTTCCGAGTGGTGCTCGCCCACGGCAGCCATGTGTGGGTGCATGATCATCCTGACRTCACGCGGGACGTTGTACTGGTCCAGCCGCAGGCTGCTGGGGTGCATGCGGTAATCAGGCTGCATCACCAGCACGTCCGACTGCACCGGCGCCGGCCCGCGGCACACCGCCGTGTGGTGGAAGTGCAGCTCCTCCTCGGGGGGGTGCTGGGAAGACAGCGGGGGTATGACAATGTCTCGGATGGGAGCTGGCTGGGGCGTGCTGGATCGCTGGGGTTTGATCTCCATCTGGGGCTGTAGAGTGGCTCGAGGGGAGTGCAGCGCTTCCGGGCGGATGCCRTAGGGAATGCCGGAGAGAGGGGGGGTGTTCATCCTGACCTCTCCTTGGGACAGGTGGCCCAGCGACACGGTCTGTGTCACGCTGTGAGGGGGCATGATGACAGATTGCTCGGGATGCATGCTGGATATGTACTGAGGAACRGGGATTCCCGGCGCCAGCATGACCGGGGTGCTGCTGGACAAAGCTGGGGACGAGGTGCTGCCGGGATGGCAGGCCCGAGGGAACGGCGACGGCGAGTGGCCACTGGTACGTGGCGAGTGTGGCTCCTGTTTGGTGACCCCCAGGTGCGAGATGGCCCGGTCGGTCGGGGTGCTGGGCCCAGAGCTGACGTGATTCACTTCCGAATGCATCTTCCCAGAGAGGGAAGGGTGGTGAGGACTGACTCCAGGACTCAGATTGGAGGGTTGCAGAGTCTTGGTCTCCACTTTGAGAGCAGCTGGGTCGGACAGTTTTTTGTTCACAACCATTTGGTTATGGACCAGCACAGGTGGAGTGTTTACYGTCTGTGTCAGGACCTTGCCGGGCTGTGACGCCGGGGGCTGCACAGTGAGGTGGGATGAGTCGGGCTTGTCCAGCACGGCGCGCTCCTGTTTGACGGACGAGATGACGGGCGAGGTGTTGTAGGGCTGCGTTCCCAGTACCAGCGAAGAATGGGTGGAAACGGTCCCGTAGCCCGCCGAGGTCTGGGAGCCTTTTGGTGCTGGTTGGGACGGCGTGATAGGCTCCTGTTTAATCTGAGACTTGGACACAGACTGCTGGAACTCGATGTCCACAGCGCTRGCTGGGGGAATCTGGCTGATCTTGGCACTGATTCGCTGAGGGCCTTCCGTCTTTTGCCCCGAGTAACTCAGGAGCACCACTCCTTCCGACGTGTTCACCCGCAGCCCTGGACTGGAGCCAGCCTCCACAGGCCTCTCCTCGATAATAGACATCGATCCCGGATGAAACCTGCTGTTATCATTTGTACTTGACCTCTGCTTGAATTTTGGAGAGGGAGCATTGACAAGGCAGGTCTGGGTTTGGGGGGCTTGTTTCACCAAGGTGATCCTGGGAGCCTCCTCCAGMTCTACGCTGAGGGGCATCCTGCTGATGACGGAAGTGGCTTTGGGAGCAATCACAGTGTTGATCTTTTCCTTCTCGCTGAACACCGGCGCTTCAGCCACCGGTGGGTCCAGGGTGTTGGTGACGGGAACGGCCGGCTTCTCCTCAGAAACTGGCTTGATGGCCTCCACGGCAGGGAGGGGAGGTGCCTCCTCCAGGCAGGGCGCGCTCACTGGCTCGGCATGCGTCGTCGTCACATGTGTGGAGGTGATGCTTGCAGCTGAGACATATTTGGGCTCCATGAGTATCTTCCTCAAAGTGCTGGAGTTCGTGTCGATATCTGATGCCTTGGTGTCTGGCGGGAGGGCAGGTGGGGGTGTGGACCGGGCCCGGGGCTCCTCGTGCCTGACCATCCACTCCGGCACCTTGGCAGTGCTGGAGTGGAGGGGGACGATGGTGGTGGGCACCGGGGTGGGCAGTTTGGCCGCAGCCGTGGGGACGGCCGGAAGGGCCGCATTTGGGGCGCTCGGTGGCGTGRTGGGAGCATTCTCCAGGGGTGACTGCATCTTGAACCCACTCTGACTGCCCTCGTCGAGGGGGACCGGTGGGGCACCCTGGTCCAGCAAAGCTGGAGCAGGCACCTTTGGAGAGGTGCAGCTCTCAGGGACAGCCTCGTGTACAGCCACGATATCAGCAGCCACAGTCTTGGTGACATCAGAAGCACTTGGCTCTGTGGATGCTGTGGGTTTGATTTGCTTTTCCTCCTTTGAGGCTTCTTCAGGTTTTGTCTTTACTTCGTTGGTGAGGGGTGACTTGCCCTGCACCCTCTCCGGCTCGAAGGCGTTGACTTCGTTGACGTCGCCCYTCCTGCTCGTGCTCTTCTTGCGTCTCTGCCGCGTAGTTTTCTGACGGCCCTTCTCCTTCCGAGCAACTTCAGCCTCCTGCAAGGTCTCGGCCTCCTGTGCAGAGTTGGAAGATTCACTGAAGCTGACTTCGGACTCCTTGCCCTCCGTCTCCAAGGCCGATGGGACAGAGCTGGGCACCGGCTGCACCGCAGGCTCAACGGCAGCCTCCGTTTCCAGGATGTTGTTCACTGCCTGATCTGTCTCAGGCTCCATCTCCTCCTGAGGTGACTGCAGCACCAAGGGCTCTGTGGGGATTTCAGCCTCAGATTCAGTGGGATACGTYGGGGGTGCAGGGAAGCTTTCCGTCTCCCCAGAAATATCATTGATGATGGAGCCGATGGCCGCCGCCAGCTCTGTTTCACTGGCTTGGTGCGCGGGTTTATCAGCCTCCTCCTCCTGACGGACTTCGGCCACATCCGCCGTYGGTTCTTTGTAGGCAGCAATAGTCGGAGGAGTTTCGGTGAGTTTTGCGATGTTCTCCACCGCCTGCTCAAGCTCGATCTGCTTCGCTAACTGGGCAGCCTCGGGTGACTGCTTGGGCTCCCGCGCCACCTCCTTTTCCATTTCTGGGAATGAATCTTCTACCTCATTCTTAGTGAAGTGGGGTGACAGGATGTCCTCTTTTGGKGGGCTCTTCATCTTGGGAGGTGACATCGCCACAGGCTCTGCCTCCTCCTCRGTGGGCCGCAAGGCACCCTTGACTTCATCCACGTTGAGGCGTATTTCCACGTTTTTGAGACACACAGATGCTTTATCAACAACCGTTTTGGTGTTTTTGTACCTTCCCCTTTTTGATTTTGTAACCTTTTCTGGCACTGGCTTCTTCTCAATGATCTCAACTGTGGGGATTTCTAGCTGGTTTTTCTCCMCATCCAGCTCCTTCCGATCGCGTTTCTGCTCGCTTGCTGCCGGCTCTTTCTCAGCGGCTTTTGGTTTGTTGCTGTTGTCACTGATGCTTGATTCCTGACCGCTTCTTTCACCAGCATCTTCGGACTCAGCCRTGGTATCGGCTTTTGTTTCATTCTTGCCCTTCTTCCCCTGTTGGCTGGGAGCAGCTGATGAGTGACTGTGTGTGAGCTTTTGGGACCTAGGAGACCTCCAACCCTCAGCAGGTTTAGAAGCTTCCACCATATCTTTAGTTTCAGCCTCCTCCACCTCTTGCTGTACCGGTTCAGTCTTTATTGGAGAGATGTCTTCCTCTGGCTTACGGCGGGTTTTGGGAGGTCTTCCCCTCCTCGGGGTTGTGGGAACAGTTGTCACCGTTTCCTGTGGCTCCTTTTCCCCTCTCTTCCTGGTGGATCTAGTGACTTCCATGGAGTCCTTCACTGGAGATGGGCCTTCATTGTCTCCTGTGGTAGCATAGACCGACCTCACRTTTCTGCGCCTGGTCCGGCCTATCGGCAAGCTCAGCTCCACGTTTTCTGGCTCTGCAGCAGAACTCGGTGATTTAGCAGCATTCCTTGAAACCTTTTCTGCCTCCACTTTCAATTCAGAAAGCTTTTGGGTCTCCCCACGAGGAGAGTTTGACCTTTTCAGTTTTTCACGGTCAATTCTTTCACTCTTCCTCGTGACGGGCTTTTCCATGACATTAGCTGCAGCCGACTGCACRGGAGTCTTGGACCGTTTACTCTTGTAGGATTTTTTATCTTTTACAACAACTGGAGGTTCCACTTCCATATCATTGTCGGAAACAGGYGGCAGGACCTCAGCAGCCACCTCCACCTTTTGACTTGCACCAGCATCAGCGYTGGCAGAAGGTGGAAGGTTTTCCTCTTTAGATTCCACAGCCTCATCTGACTTCTGAACTAGCTTGAGCGGAGGTGGAAGCAGCTGGGCAGTCTCAGGTTCTGGGTCTACACTGATGTCTGCATCRGAAAATGATGCCCCAGGAGTGGGAGGTTTGGTATCCAAGTATGAAGGATGCTCTGTAGCCACAGCATCTTCCTCTGGCACCAGGGTTGTAGCAACGATTTCTTTACTCRCTTCTACAACTGGAGGAGGTTCTGTTTGCTCGGGAGGTTCCACTTTGGCAGGARCAGCGAGTTCAGGAAAAGGTTTTTGCTCCTCTGCTGCAGCAGCAGGTTCAGAAGGTTTGTCTTCCTTGACAGAAGCTGGTTCCACCAGGACCTTTTCACTCACGATTTTCTCAGGAGCGATGGGAGCTACTTCCTGTGGGAGGACAGAGACTGAAGAAGGTTTATGTTCTGTTTCTTTACTATCAGGAACGATTTCTGGTGTTTTTGGCCGGTTTTCTTTATCTTCCTGTTTTTCCACTTCTTTCGGTTTTTGATCTTTCTCCTTTTCTTTCTGCTGCATTCGTGTCAGCTCCACAAACCTACTGTGGAAGAGAACCACCGGCTCTTGCACCAAATCAGCCGCACTGTTTGTCCCATCAGAGGAGGACTGTCTCCCGTACAACCTCCCAGAGATAAAGTCCAGATCATCATCTTTCCTCTCTAAATGCTGCAAGCGTTTGGAGTCCTGTTCAAAGATTGAACTGTGCAAAAACCGAGAAGCAAACAGCTCCTGCCGCTCTTGTTCCTCCTCTTTATGGTCTTCCTTCTTATCATCCAGTTTTCCCCCTTCGGAATCAGTTCTGATTTTTTTCTTTTTCATATACCARGATGGAATAGGCCTTGGAGCCGAGTCAACCTTCTCTTTGTCTTTATTGTTTCTAAAACTGGCAAATCTTGAATCCCAGTCTAGAAAGGACCAGTTTTCCTCTCTGGAGGAAGAGAGGGATTTAGCCCTTTCRAGCAAGGCCTTTGTGTCAGGTGTGATTGTCTTGTCCAATGCAAAAGAGTAGAATTTGTTTCTTTCTAAGGAACTGGACTGGAGTCTTTCCTCTCTTTCACGGAACTTCTCTTCTCTGTCCCTTAATAAAAAAGACAACCTGGAACTCTCCAACAAGGACGAGGCTTTTGGGGAATGAGGCTTGTTTTCACCATCGTCATCTGAATCCGAAGGCACCTCCCCAGGTTCCAGGTCTCGGACAGACCGTTTCCGTATGCTGTCTCTTTTSACAATGCTGCTTGGAAAGCTGATATCGACTCTCCCAGGCTCTTGCTTCACTTGGGTTTCCCACCTACTCGAGTCTTCCTCAGAACTCARCACAGGGAGTTTTATTTTAGCCATTTCTGCCATCTGCTCCCTTCTGCTGGAATCATAAGGATTGAATTTCAGCGAGTCCTCCCTCACAGTCATGCTGGAGTATGAAAGACTCTTTTCTTCTATTTTAGGTGACTCTTTGGCTTCTTTCAGTGGCATTAACCTTGGAGAATCGAGCGTGTCGTCATCCTCATGGAATGGGAAGTGTCTGATGCTTGGGGAACAGGACATCCTTTCGGAATCCTCACTCACCTGACGAGAACTTCTGTAGTTCCTTTCTCTCTTAGTGCTGATTTCAAAGTCAAACTGGTCAGTCTTTTTCCTTTTACTCGGTGGAGAGTCATCGGTGACGTCTTGAGGAGGCTTTCCCACCTCGTGAACCAGACTCCGCTTTTCATATTCATCCACATCTTTCTTTGGGCTGCCAAACTTCTCCGACTTCGCTATCTCCATTTCCAGCTGCTGTTTCAACCGGCGGCTTTGCTCCATTTGTTTCCGGTAGCTCTGTGTGTGGTCAATGTCGATGCTGATTTTCTCCTCYGTGTCAGTTGACTGAGGTTTCTCTTGGCCAAGTTTATGGTCCAGTGTTTCTTCAGAAAGACCGGAGTAATTCTTCCTGGTGTCCTCTCTCTCCGTTCCCTGCTCGTCCAGCAGCTGTACCGGTTTATGCTGGGGTTTTACTGAATTCAGTTTTTTAGTGGAGAGTTCCTGAACTTCCACAGGTTCATCAGGTGCCTCCATCAGCCTCGTCTGCAGATCCAGGGTGGGACGCATGCCAATCCCACCAACATTAAGAGTRTCCTGAATTTCTTTGGGACTAGTAACAGGAATAAGTCTTTCCAGTTTGAGTTTTTTAGATTCCCTTTTAAGTATCTCCTTCCTCAGGGGTTTTCTCTCCAATTCTCCTTCCCTTAACACTGGTGCTTCTCTAGACACYGTCGCATCAAGCTGCTTTTTCAAAGCCAGGCGTGCATCCTCCTCATCTTGGCTGCTCCGTTTCACATCCAGTTTCTGCCTGTCAGGCTTCGGATTCGCATCGGCGAAACGCCTTTTACGAGCCTCCAACTTGTCTAAATCAACTGCATTGGCCCCCTCGGAAGTTTGCTCTATCTTCAAGTGCTTTTTGGGTTTCATTTTTCCCTCCTTGTCCACCACTTCAATGTGACTGGCAAGAGCTTTCTCCTTCTGTACCTTGGTTCTGACATGTTCTAGTTTAGACTGCTCAGACTTGGCTTGCTCAGCCTGGGACACCGGAGTTTTCTGTTCGAGCAGTGGGGATTTCAGAGTGTCGTTATCCAGCTTTGCCCTCAGTTTCTCCAGTGCAGGCTGATCGATCACCTTCCCCTCCTTTTCCTTCACGCGAGTCAGCACAACACAGGGCATCAGTTCCAGGCGGTTCTTCGCTGTCCCTTCTTTGTCACCCCTCTCCTTGCTTTGTTTACTGTTGCCCTTTAGTTTTTCTGGGCTGGGCTCTCTCTCATTCTCCTGATCCGTTTCTGAGGACTGAGAGCTGGGCGAATGGATTTTCGCTTTCCGTTTCTGCTTATCCGTTTTCTCCTTTTCTATTTTTTCTGGCTTTTCCTTCCTTACCAAGCGCTTCTCCTTGTCCACCCTCTCCTGCTCGAAAACGCGCTCTTTCTCCACTTTCTCGTTTTTTGCGTATCGTTCCACGCGGGCTTTGTCAAGTTTGTCGTATCGTGGAGGGGACAGCGAGCTGCAGCTGCCGCTGCGATCCGAGGACCTGCTGTAAATCCTCCTCTCCGAGTCGCTCTGCAGCCGTTCCGACTGCGAGGGGGACGCTCCAGGGCTCTGCGGGCGCCGGGAATGCGTCGGGCTCTGGCTCCGCTCCATCGGTCTCCGTTCGTGGTCTCTGTCCCGATCGGATTCGAAGCGTTCCCTCTCCCTCTCCCGCTCCCGTTGCCTGTAGCTGTACTCTCTGATGTCCTGCTCGTACGGATCTCCCCGGTAATCCCGGTACTCGCGAGGGTCGTCGTAGTAGCGTGGGTCGTAGTAGTCTCCTTGGTAGGGATCCCACTCAGTGTAGAACTCTCTGCCCCGAGCCGGGTATTCCCGCCGAGGATCTTCAGGATACGTCCCTGGGGTCCGAACAGTCTCGTAGTAAGTACGGTCAGGGGCGTATTCATAGGATCCTCTTCGCTCGTCTCTGCTAAAATGAAGAATAAACAGATTCTAGTTCTCCTTCTCAACCAATGCACTGTGTTACTGTTTTTTTCCTACAGAAAGGAATTGTTTTCCCCTTTTTTCCTATGTGCATCAAGGCAGCTGCACACAGAGGTTTGGCAAGGAACCTGTGTGCAGTGGACTAAATACTGTTAACTTATCAAACACCAAATGCAGTTCATGGACAATTTCATAACAGCTCTTCCAAGTACTGCTTCACCACCCGCACTCCTKTGTTTTTGTCAAATTCAAACCTTGCATGAAATCAGGGTAAAACCAACACAGCATCTGTGCACCCACACAGGGCTGGCAGGGTGAAGATGCCCTTATCCAGAACCTGAGACTTTCATCTGACTCTGAAAACACRAGTCAGATCAAAAGTCAGGGGTGGAATCTCTCCCTTACTGAGCAGCAAAGTGGTGGTAAGATTTCTTAAAAAATCCTGAGCCCTGCAGGTGATCTTTTAATTTCCAAATTAGCTTTCACTGTATGTGACTTGCTGGTGTTGCCTGTTTACAGTAAAACCAAGTCAACAAACATCAGGTTGTTTGTAAGATCAGGTGAATTCATTCAGCAGAGCAAGTCAAGCAATAAGGTTGCTATTTCAATACCTTCAAGCAGCAAAAATAAGTAATTTATAACAATGAACATGGCAGGAAGGTGGAATAAACCCTGGAGTTCCAATTCTCCATCATTACAGAGTGTTTTGCACGCTCTGTACAAAGGTGGGGTTGGGCTCTGCTCCAAGGGAACAGGGACAGGACAAGAGGAAACAGCCTCACRCTGTGCCAGGCGAGAGACAGTTTGGACATCAGGAGGAATTTCTTAATGGAAAAGGTGGTCGGACACTGGAAGGGGCTGCCCAGGGAATTTTGGAGTCCCCATTCCTGGAGGCACCCAAGAACAACTGGACATGGYACTCAGTGCTCTGGGCTGCATGACAAGGTGGGGATCAGTCACAGGTTGGACCTAAATGATTCTGGGATTCTTCATAGATTTATCTGGCTTCACAGTTTATGTTTTATGTTAAAAGCTGACAGCTTCCACCTTTTCTTAAAAGTACAAAAYTGAAAAAGAGACAATACATGGAAGATGAAAACCTCATTCTGCARGTGAAGTGGGATGTTGTGAAAAGCAGCTGTGAAGTTAAAAATATTGATCAGGGATTTTTTTTTTTTTTTTCCCTTTGGGTCCTATTTAGACTGGCTCCAACTACAACACCAAGAGAAGATGGTTTGTGCAGAGCTCAGCATCACTGCAAGGAGCTCAGAGGGACACCAGGAGCTGCAGAATTACAGGACTCACTGCAGGGCTCACTCTATGATGTATTATCCCTATGGATCTCCTAATGACTATGTGAGCACAGTGACAGAGAAAGAAAAACCAGACTAACGTGTGCCCAAACACCAGAAATCAGGGTCCTGCTCAGGATTATTCCATGGCAAAGACAAGCCCACCTGAGTCCTGTGTGCTAAAAAACATCCAATAACACCCTTCACCTGTCTGAATCTCTGTATAGCTCTGAGGAAATGCTTATTTGCTGGCACACCACAACATCTGGCAAGACCTGGGGAAGGCACACTTGTATTTCCATCATGGAAGTCCTGATTGTCAATTTTCAAACACGGCTCGCTTTTAAATCTGCTCATTTTGCATTATGTCAGACCRATCTATTTCGCTGCAAAAACGATTGGGTTTATCCAGCTCCCAGGTACAACTGGCATCAAGCTGGGCTGATTCCTGGAAATGCAGAGCCCTAACAATGAGCCAGGCTCTGAAGACAATAAAACACAGGTGGTTTTTCAGTCAGTGGAGGTAAAAAAGCCCAGACTGTGGGGTGTTTCTGTGCCAGGTCTGCAGGGATAAGTGGCCATTCAGCATGTGGTGCCAGCTGCTGCCAAGGGAAAGCCACACAGGACACAGCATTATTCAAACTAAAAATGCATCCTTACGCAAATTATATTATTTTATCAAGTTASAAACAGCCCTGTTGGAAAGGGGGAGGTGGAGGATCAGATTTTACTCTCTGTTCAAGGGCTGAGCAGCAGGAGCTTATCAGACTTTATATATACCCACCAACACACACATTTCTCTGTTAGAGATAAGCTGCTCTTTGCATTCCTAAGATGTGATGAATGACTCCCAACTGTGTCCCAGTGACCCACCAGAGAAACCAGATACTAAAATATGGATCACGCAGACAACTAAAACCTCCACCTCAGGAGGAATTTCAGTAACTGGCTACGCCTCGGATGTGTGAGATCCTGCCTGCTCTGATCTGCACAGCTTAAGTTTGATCACCTAAATTTGTTTCAAAAAATAGTAAAAAAGTTAAAAAAAATTAAATGCAGAGATTTTTTAATAAAACCTTAAAAATAAGGATAAAGTTGAGAGTAACAAAATCTTTTAAAAGAATTATGGCCTGAAGAAGATTTGAYTGTAAGATGATGAGGACAGTGACTGTAAGAGGATTGTGTAAGGTGATGTTAGAAAACAAAACTCTGAATAAACATATTGATACATGCCTTCTTTCTGCCAGCATTTCATAGAAGTCTCTGATATCTTGACCCGTTTTCTCCATGGAATGATAAAATGCCAACTGACTCTCCCGATTAGCAAAGTCCACCTGAAACAGAAAGGGGAAATCACGTTCAATCATGAAAACATCATATTCTGCTAACACTTCCCGGTGTGCTGAAGGAGGGAGCAGAACTCAAAATGGGGGTAAAATTTAATATGGGATGTCAAACATTTCCCAATTGTGGCCCTGCACATTCCCAGGACTAAATATCTTTSTCAGTGGAACTGTGTGACTACCTCCCTACTATGTTGTTGTAGCTGCTGGCCCAGAGGCTTCTGCTGGGCAAAGCAGCAGGAAAAATACACATTATTATCGTGGTATTGATGTTTTCAATGCCAGGACAGTTCCAAAGTCCCTTTTATCTCAGGGCAGTGCAACAGGAGGGTCAGGACTACGAATCTGTTCCAGACTCCACAGTGTTTGCCTGGGGTTACAGAGAAGGAAAAGAACCAAATCCTGAACTGCAGCTCCCTGTTCCAGCTACTCCAAGAATTGGTGTTTTCTAGCCAAGGATGACAATATTAAGAAGCTAATAATGTACTGCAAAAATTAAGCATTTGGATGGATTTCATTACATGTATACCACATAAAGGAATATTTTTAACATTCTAGTTCCTGTTATTTTTTAAATCAGCCCAGTGCTGTGCGCAACCACAGCAAGAGAGCACAGACACACATCGGGAGTGATGCTTATTCCAAGTCATTAAGCAGCCAAGATGAGAAGTTTTAATGGACTATACATTTTTCTGAATAGGAAGGTGACTGATATCCAACACCACACTCAGAAACTACAGGATATCCAACTTCCAGCCCTGGGTGAGGTGGGAGGCTGCTGAGATCATGCCTGATATCACTGCCCACTCTTTAGGAGGAGAAAGGAAGAGAAGGAAGATAATTCAAAGGGTTGGCTGACACCTCACGTCCTCAGTTAGTGGGACTATGGGACAGTCAGAACAGGTATCACCCCATTCACCCAAATCCAAGATATCCCTGTAAATGTTCAGTGTTGCTCCAGGAAGTATTTACTGTGTATTTTTTTAAGCAGTGTTTTCAATTACTGTCAAAAATCTGTGGCAAGGAAAGACAAGRTGATCTCTAAGGTCCCTTCCAACCCAAACTATTCCATGATCCCATGACAACATTGGGGTTACTGTACCCCAGAGCCTGGAGCACAGCACAGGGGAGCTGGAATGCAGCCATGTGTTATCCCTGAGGAGCTCATACTTTYGGGTTTCCTTTTTTTAACATGAAAACAGACAAAAGTTTGCCTTGGATTGGATTGGGGTAAACGAGGCAGTGACACGGACACCGACACTCAGGAACTCAGAGACACAAGTTCAGCAACACAAATGGCATAATACTGGAAAAGGCTTTTTAAGTAACAGTTCAGGATTCCCTGACATCTTGGTAAGCCGAGTATAAAAATATAATTTAAGCCTTTGCTATGTGGGACGTGCGTGTCCCGCCAAGTATTCCTTGAGCCTGGCAGTCTGCACTGCCAGCATTTAAGGGGGAAGGCCTAAACACAATTTGTTCCTCTTTTTTTTGCCTGTTTTGCTTTGGTTTGGAGGTCATTCTGCACACCTTAATTTTATTCCCACCGATTTTCCTCCCCTTGGTCTCTTTTACAGCTGCTTGTGCATATTCAATCTCATTGTAGAGAACCAGGGCCATGCCTTTTAAGCGGTCAAACACCACCTGTAAAAAACAAAAAAACAAAACAAAAACCAAATAAGAGCCTCATCCACAGGACTTAATGTCAGTCCCAACAAAATCCTAAGTCATGAGGATACCAGGAAGGAAATAATTTTTAGCAAGGTGAATTTCCAGGCTTTTCTGATGAGGCATATTGGAATGAAGACACAATAAAAGGACATGGGACTGCTTTGAATTGTGGATATTGTGGCTTGAGGTATATTATGCCTTTATTTTGTTTTTCTGTATTTTACTTTGAGTATTTTTTTCTTTTATGACTGATTTTTGTAGTATTTCTTTGCTGAGTGTCTGGGTTTTTTCATTTCCAATGTGTTTTAGGGGGGAAAAAAGGTAAAGGGAACATTTAATCCCCAAGTGGACCCAATTTTTGTTATCAGYCTGCAGTACCCCTCACCAGCTGCTAAATGCCCAATTTCCAAATATTCCCTTCCTTTAGCAACATAAATATATTATTTAAGCAACAACAGCTACAATAAAGAACGTCAAAGCTGCAACACAAACCCACAAAAATCCTTTGGGGAGGCCAGAGCCTGATCCTGTAAAGATTTTACACACGTTGCTTAATTTCAAGCACATTCGTGTCCAATAAAAATACACAGGACAACTCCCACACTGAAGTTTAAGCATGTGATAAATCACTTGCATGGAAGAGGCTCCTGCTGTGTGACATGGGTGTGTTGCACCATTGTTGACTTTTTCTCTTCGTCCATGTACTTTTGGCAGCATGACTGTCTTGACTGCTTTTAAAAAGTCTATTTTTTTGGTCTTGATGAAAAAAAGCATAGTTATGTCCAATTATGTAATTAGCATGTAAGAGCAATTATGTAATTAGACKGCTGTTCCCCCAACTAACATTTAAGAAGTTTTGCTGGGGAGAGACTATACTGCACAAGAGCAACAAATGGTTTCCAAYACTCAACATCTTGGCTAACTCAAAATTCTGTTTGGCTGTTTTCAAACCCCAGAAGTGACTGGGGTCACTGTCTACRTTGACAGAGCCCTGTCAACCAAATTTCATGCCAGAGAGAACTTTTTCTACCTGAGCTATAAAGCCCTGGACAGTGGGGGCTGAAAGGACAGGATAGGAAGAAAGGAAGACAGTAAGGACTTGGAAGCTCACGCCAAAGCCTCCCACCTACCTTCACCACAGGCCCATATCGGCAGAAATGTCGGGTCAGATACTGATCCGTAACGTTTGTGGAAAGCCCATCTAACCACACGCAGTTGGTAGGCATGCTCTTCCCAAAACCCAGCTGGACACAAAAGGGCAAAACTTCCATCAGTACAGTGCACAAGGGTTAAACTCACTGAACAGAGCCCGCTTAATGAAAGACTTATTTGCAGAAAGCTGTTGTTTGTATGGATTTTCTAAACTTAGCATCTGGTGCAGGTGCAAGACAAAAATCAAAGAGCAATTAATGAAAATAATTCTGCTTGTTTAAATAAATACAGTGTTTGACAACACTGGGTTCTTCTACAATTTGAATGTYTGAGAAGTGACAGGTTGACAGCTCTGACGTCTGACAGGCCCCGTTTGTCACCGGGAGCGGGATGGATTCCCAGCACAGCCTCGCCAGGCATGGCCCTTCCAGACCAGGCAATGTCAGTCTCCAAGTCCTCAATCCCARGGCTACGTGTGGACAGAGCCAACAAAAATGCTGATTAATCCAAATTAGGTGATGGTTGRAACCATCACACTCTGATCTGATCTCACACTAAAAACCATCCTCCTTCCATAAACTACCCTGCTACAGAACATCCCAAGGTGGCGCAATGGAAGAAACGAGAAGGATACAGTCCAGGGGAGGATTTCTTTACCTTGAGCCGGTTATTTCCAAGATATTCCCCATCCATCTTCTTAATGGCTTTGCACACACTGGCGATGTCGCAGTACTGCAGGAAGGCGTACTGAGGGACACCRTTCACCTTCTTAATGTCGATGTCCTGGGGACAAGCACAAAACACAACAGCCCACAGTCAGCAGTCAATCCCATCTAAGAGGACTTGTTTTTTCAGGGACATGTGGCACAGCAAACTCTTTAATTAATATTTTCTTCAGAGAGAGGATTTAAACAATAGTAGACAGTTAAAACTTCACTGTTCTGCTGCATCTCAAAACCAAATCCTYACTGAGCAGGGAAAGCTCTTCATCACGCAGATTTAAAATCCAAGCTCRCAGAACTAAGCCTGGCCTGATCAACAAACACCAGCTTTAGGCTGTTAATACTGTATCAAGAACAGACAATTCAGGATCAAAGAAATACAGATTAATTTTAGCTCACAAAAGCTCAAGAGAAAACATCTTCTCCAATCCTCATCTCTGAGCCAAGCAGGGCTTCTTTTYCAAATAAACATGATCCATCCTGTTCCTAGAAACACAAAGTGATGCTGGACTCATCTCYTGAACCAGCCTGGCTCATGGCAAAGGCAAAAAAGATCCTCAACTTCTTTTACTGCTGGTCTTTAATCCCAAGCCATCACAGGCCCATTCACAAGTACAGCCGGAGGCTCACAATGCCAAATAAAGGCTGATTTTAACTGATTTGAAAAAACCCAGCAAGCCAGGAATTGACATTTGGTTAACAAACAAGCTCAGCACTAGCACTGGAAATGTACCCGAAGCCTCCRAACAAACTCATGATATTATGATTCATTCCGAGCTGAAAATAGGAGGTGGAGGGTTTGGCTTTATTTGTTGGAATAGCAAGAGCTGCCTTTGTGAGCCACACATGGATCTGAGCACAAATGTTCCAATACCCAGGACAGGCTAATTTCATGGTTAATAAATTTAGGGACAAGGCAGCAGYTTGATACAGTCTCACCCAAGAGCTCTTTATCTGGGAAAACAGAAGTAAACAGGGAGATTTACACAACTATTAGACTCCTACAGCCCTGGCCTAATGATTTAAGTGGAAATCAGACACTTCCAAGTGTCTGAAGTGGCACGACTACAACCATGGCAAATTATACTTGACCACTCACCCTGGGCAAGCAATTCCTTCTGACAGACAAATAAAATATCATTATTGTGCTCATTACCCCTCAGAAAGGTTATAAAGCTGGTCCCTTCTGCACCTGAGCTTGCAAGTTTTCCTGGAAACGGCGAGAGCATTGCCTCCCAATTGTGAGCCATTAATAAATGCTGACAGAGAGCACCATGGCACACAAAAGCCAATTTACACTACCACTGATAAGCATCTTTATCAGGAGAGCTCTGCTGCTCTAACACTGGAAAAGGGTTCAAGCCACAGAATGGTGCAAATTCATAAATCAAGTGTTGATGTCAAGGATACAAGCAGAGGCTGGACACACAAAGGCGGCTAGACATCATAAAATGAGGATTTTATATTGGTCCACACTGTACATGGAAGCAACCTCCCCCTTCTTTAGGGAGGGGGGGCAGGGATGGGATTGCTGGTATGTGTGACTGATTCCTCAGCAGCAATAAAAACATGTCAGAGCAGAGTGAAGGAGGCCCAGCACACTCACAAGCACCCACAGCTGACAGGGAGAACATGAACCATCTGAAGCTCAGACTCAACAGCAATCTCAGAATTAATCCCAGAATGGGTTGGGWTGGAAGGATCCTTAAAGCTCACCCCATTCTACCCCATGCCATGGGCAGGGAYATTTTCCACTATCYYAGGCTGCTCCAAGYCCTGTCCAACTTGGCCTTGGACACTTCCAGSGATACARSGGCAGCCACAGCTGCTCTGGGCACCCTGTGCCAGGGCCCTCACWGGRAACAATTCCTTCTCAATATCCCACCAAACCTGCCCTCCTTCAGCTTAAGCCTTGCCCTGTCACTCCATGCCCTTGTGAAAATTAATTAAATTGGACATTTGCACCACTTTCATGGAAAATTTCCCTTAAATATAACAGTGACGTGAACTAATAGGAAGTGTCATGAGCAGAGGAGGGGGCGTTGCTCTACCTCATCCAGATACTCCTCCTCAGCTGAAAACCCAAATCCCCCATGTGCCATCACTGATCCATCTGCTTCAACTTCCTATGCCTGGGCTGCTTCCACTGGCACTGACCAAACTCCCTGGTTCCAGGAGTCAAYAGGAAACTCAGATTCACACAGTTGAGTGTGTGAATCATGTTGAGGAGTCAACATGAAAACATCACCTGGCACATTTACATTCCAACTACCCTGTCCGCTTCGGAGCTACCAGGAGACAATTACCAGGAGAAAACAGCAGGAGAGACATCTTCTGTAAACACTTCTGGGACTGTTTTTCCTGCTAAGTTACCCCTCAACATTCATATGCTGAACTTGGAATACAAAGAAAAGTCTTCATGTGTATTTCAGCAAGAAGAATGACTCRGATTATTACAGAAAGACTGAATTATCTGTTGGTTTCAGATTTACACCACTCCCAGCATTTCACAGGCCTGTACAGAAAGGGGGGCAGTGCCACCCCACACAGGACACAGTTCACATACCACTATTCCCCCAAAGCGTTGGAAGATGTTGCGAAGGTCRTGGTAGGTGGTTGTTTTCTCCAAGTTGCCAATGAACAGAGTTCTCGTTGCTTTTGGGTGAAACTCATCTATCCTTTCATCCAAAGGACGAAATTCATTCTCACTTTCAGTTTCTAGAATAGAAGAGAGCAGGWAATTTGTAATGCCTGGAGGTTTGGCACTTGTTGGTTTGTTCAGGTCTCCTTGATCTGAACAAGAGTAACCACCATCTCTGAGAAAAACATCCCATACTGCACCCATGACTTGTTATTTATATGATATTTGAAATCTTTATATTCCACTGAGGAATGTGAGCATCCTCAGAAGAAAGGGAGCTGCATCTTTCAACTGCTTCTCTGGAAATTTACTCTTAACAAGTATCAGTGCTTGAGTGCATGAATTCCAGTAAAGCTTCCCTGCACTTCGGGAAGAGCACGTGGCAGGAGTTTGTTTTCAGGAATCAATTTTTAAAGAAGCCATTGAAGTGCAGTCTGAGAACTCCACCACGTGCTCAGGGCTGCAGCTCTCACTGGTCGGTCACGTGGGCTGCGCTGCCACAGAACACCGCACTCGTTGCTGTTTTAATTAAAAGAAGACAAAACGAGGCTGGGAGAACTCAGTGCTGCACTCACACCACCCACTGGCAGCTGCTCCACCGAGACATGGCAGATGAAATCGCTCCTTCAAGCAGATCCCACTGTTTGGGAGGATGGTAGCTTTCCTTCTCTGAGGCTTAACACTGGAACTCTCTCACTGTTTCACCCAAGAGCATCCACTCTTCTTGCTCTGTGGTGTTTTCCTAGTTTCTTTAAAGTATGTTTCCTACTTCTATTCTGCCTCTTCACAGCAGCTCCTGAACAAACCCAGAGYGCTCCTGTGGGAGAATGGCATGGACCTTACCTGGTCCTATCCAGGCTGTGACTTCAATCTGCATGCCAAAGAAAAGCTTTCCTTTGGAGGCATTCAGTGCTTTCTCCTGGTCCTCCTGCTGCCGGAAGAACACCAGGCCATACCGTTCCTCRGATGCACCGTGGATCTGCACTGATGTCACCTTCCCATACTTCTTGAATTCGTGGAAAAGTCCATCTTTAAGGCTTGTATCTAAACGAACAAAGAAACATTACTACTACAGAAACATAACTTTTACCAACCCAGTGCCACCATAAAACACAGGAAGAACTCTTGATTGTCTTTCTGCTTAATTCGTTGCTCACACAAGTGCCCTTTTTAATTTGGGATTTATTTCACTGATGTCCAAAGTTTCTGGCTGATCTTTCTCTGGTTTTTAAATCCAAAAAACTAAACACGAGGTTTTACATGGCTAGGACACTTGACTAAAAATCCCGCAGGGATACTGCACACAGCTGGGAGGAGATGTATGAAAGGGAGGCTGGAGTCATACAGCATTCAGTACAGTCAATTCAGAAATATAACCAGGCAGATTCATCAGAATCTGACTCAGGCCCATACAATTTGTCTGGGATTCCTGTGATATTGACCCTAGCATCCCGTCCTTTCAAGGAATATGACAGGAACCAATTCTGTAGGAAGATACCAACATCAGGCACTCTGCTTACAAGATTAACAGATATTAATTTAGCTCAGCCAGTGCTTTTGCATCCATGAATTGTTAAAACTGTTTCATAACTGGTCCCATGCTGGTTTTTCCAGTAGGATCTCTTCTGTGCTCAGCACAAGGAACAGGGAGCAATCATGGGCGCTCCTCAGCTTGAGCTTTCCTGGGTTACTTTCCAGGCAATATCCACTGGCTTTACAAATATACTGAGGGGTGTTTTAAAGCACCCAAACTGAAACAGAAAACCCTCAACTTTTTGAATTAAAAAATAAATTGAAGCGGGATAAGATTAAACAATCCAAGTTTTAAATGCAAGAATGGAGATGTGTCAGTTTTTTCCCTGGGAAAGCCCAGATTACTATTTGGAAGCACCAGTTCCAGGAGCTGGAAATGCCCAATACTTGGAGCTGGGACCAGGAGGGTTTCTCACAGATGGTCACTAATTAAGCAATTTTCCCACTGTCACACAAGAACTGAGGCAGAAGCAGGGAAAGACGCCCATCCTGAGAGGCAGCACRTGGCTGCTGTGTGTCAAAGACTCAGTACAGGTTATTCAGCCATCCCATCCSTTTTTTCCCCTACTCCCCTTTCCCAAGTGAATTTACCTGTTGAGCGCACTGGAAGATTTTGAACCTTGATCCCAAAACTCTTCCGGGGCTCATCCTTCTCCAGCGATGGGAGCAGCTGGGACGCAGGCGCGGGGACRGCCGTGGACTGCACCGATCGTGCCGGGGACTCGTCACTCGAGCTGCTGCTGGAGTCACTGCTGGAAATGGCACCGAGGCAAGGACAGGTGAGTGCATGGAGGAAAGGGACCCAGGAAATGGTTATTTTATTAAAAAAAGCAAAATACCAGAGTTTCTGCTCGTCTACAGGCCTTCCTCCCTTTTGTGCCTGACCCTGCTTCCATGCTGCAGCCCAGTTACTCGCAGGAATTTAGAGCCTTCCTACAAATATTYCTCTGCAAAGCCCTCAGAGCAGACAGGGAAGTGGAATATGGGTAAAATGTCAGCGAGATCCTGTTACGTGCCCTGACAATGGTGGAGATTTAATTAAGTGTAATGCAATGCTGGAGCAGCTCAGGAGCTGTGTGGGAAGAATGGAGAAATACAGGGAGGATGCACAGGTCTGACGAAGCCTCAAAAACCCTCCCAGCGCTCTCACGTATGAAAAGAAATATTTTTGTGCTCTCAGGCATCTTTCTTGGAGAGATCTGTACTCCAAAGAGACCATGTGTGAAAATCATGGCAAGGATTTTGGTCAACTGCTCAGGAATAACCTGGATGGATGGAGATGTCCATGTCCCTKCTCCAACCCACGGCACRGGGTGGAACAAGATGATCTTTAGGATCCCTCCCAGCCCAAACCATTCTGGGATTCCTATGAAACAGCAAACACTATTTCCAGGCTCAGCCTCAACCTCCAACTTCAGGATACGAAGAATTCAGACCCAAGAATGCCTTTTATAAACAATAATTACAACAGAAAAGAATTTGCATATTAGATCACAGAGGGAGTCAATCTAATCCACAGACTCAGGAGTGTTCRATGTTTCGAGGAGAGGCAGAAATACAGAGAATATAATGTTATTAAAGCTTGCCCAGTGGGGACACGTCATCCTGCTTCAGTGGCTCATTTCTTCCCCAAGGCACGAGGGCTCAGAACAGYACTAAAAATAATTTTGTCTGATATAACCCCGGAGACTCTCGTTCTCCATTACACGCGCAGCCTTTGAAAAAATTCTGCTGGAATTTTAACTTGGCGGCTGGAGGGGGGGAGATGTGCCACGTACTAAAATAACCCTGTCAGTCTGAAATTTGCTGCTTGATCGAATTTTTATGTTCCTCTCCACATCGYATTAGAAAAACAATATGCAGGTTTATCTTTTTCTTATCTTAAATATTTCATACCCTTCTTACAAACCTTCTTGCCATTACACCACTTAACTTYTCCSTTTCTTTTCTCAGGGAAACCATCTCAGGCTTCTAATAATTTCCAAGATTTGATTTTGTGAGCTCTTCTACTACTTTTTTGTGGGTGYTTTTCTTCAAACATTCAAAAAACCTGGCTTTCTTTCTGAACATCTTTGTGTAATGAGCACTGTGGCATATTCCCAAAAGCCCTTGGGCTCTGTCCCCATTATATTTGGAGGCGCAGAAGGGAGGACAATCTCTGTCCCAAAATACTTGCAAACAATCCAAGAAGAATATAAAAACAGGCCAGACCAAAATAAAACACAACAAAAAGAGTCAAAAATGCAGAAGTAATAATAAACATGAGAAACTCTGCTGCCGGTCTCACCCTCTCATTAGAACCCTCCCATCCCATCGAGCCACTTAACACGTTGGTGCCTTTCCCACACATTCTCCTCCCACTGCTCCGGAGTGCAGTGRGAGGAGGAAGTTCAGCATCACTTTGGGAGAGGAGAGAAAGTAAAGCCAGGCCAGGAACAGAGTGAAAAACTGAGCCCTTCCTCCTGCCCTGCTCTTCCCAAGGGCAGCTGTCCTGCACCATCCAACCTCTCTCTTTACGGATAATAAACATTTCCCTTCCCAGCTACAGTCAGTAGTGTTTTCCAGCAACGAATCTCCCACCATCAAGATGTCCCTTCACAGCCTCATTTTTCTGCTAAATTGGTAAAATGCCTTTATTTCTGTCTCACCTGTGTACCCTCCTTTGGTGCCCTCCTCATTAATAAATTACTTAATCACTGAAAGAGTGCAGCATTCCCTCCTCATCTTTATCCCATTCCCTCTGCCTCCTGGCTTTCCACTAAAYCACCTCAAATCCTCAAACCGCAGTGCTTCTCGACAGCATTTTGGGAAACGGACAAACTGAGCCCCACATGATCAGGCCCTCAGTGTTCTCCAGGGGTAACATTAGACATTGCCTGCTGCTGGGAAATAAATGGGCAAAGAATAGAGAAACTTCTTTAAACACACAAATATAGGGCAAAGAATGTGTGTATGAAGAAACTGAAAATAATTCCCAAGCTGATAGCAGCTCCATCAGGTTCAGCAGCACCTGGGGAAGSCTAAAACAGGATTTTAGGGCTGCAGAACCCTCTCCCTGTGCACATTTTTACTTTCCCTTCTCACATCTTGACGCTCACGACCAACTCAGTACGCCCAAAGCCTTTAGAATTTCACTGTGCTGAGATGGCAACTCTCAAACAAGAGGCAGCATTGAATTGATCTGACTAGTGATTTAAAATGAGAACAGGTTATTTTTAGAAGCTTTTTTTTTTTTTTTGTGACTGTCAAAAATATGGAACATACTGTTAAAATCACAGCATTCCACTAGAGAAAAAAATATTATCTTGGGATAACACCGTTAGACATCCAMGTGATGACACAGCAGTGTAACAGGGTGAAAAATTCCACAAAGGAGTCTGAATTCTAGACAACTTTGGCAAAAAACGATCATGCTGGTAACTTCCACTTCCCCAGGGAGTTTTAGAGATATGTGTCCCTTGGCAAAGCAAGACTTTCTGAGACATTCCAGAAAAAAAAAAGTCATCATTTCCTGACTATTTTTAGAAAAAAAAAGGAAAAAAAAAAAAGAGATTGCAAGAACAATCCCCACCTTTCTTTAGGGAAATCCCCATCCCTTTTCCAATTGAAGAAACATGGATATAATAATTCAAAAGTAAGTCAAAGGTTTGATGTTCTGTGAATGGGAGAATGATGGAAGAGTTAATTATAGCTGCTGTGTCACCCAGTTATAGCTCACAGCACAATCAAAATAAAGCATCTGACAGGGAATTATGTGGCGTCTTGAGCAGCAAAACACAACYCTTTTTCAGCTTTAAAAATATACAGATCTGAAAGCTCCCTGAAAGAAGCCTGAAAGCTGCTCAAGGACAAGTTCCCAGAATATTAAAATGAGAATATGGCTTTGCTTTTCCCTGTGAGTAATTTTGAAAACAACCGCCCGTTGCCAAAGCAGAAAATAAGTTATTAAAAATTCTTCTGGCAAAAGCAGGTTCATAAAGCTTTTAGAAAGAGCTAGGGAAATTTTAACATGGGAATATCATAGGATAAAACAACAGCTCTGCTCATTTCCTCCTTAAAAGCATTCCAAGTATCAATAGGTTTCGGGGCATGTCAAAAATGGTGCAAAAATAGCTTTATAACTTCATTTTGGACTTCCGCTACCACCATTAAAGCTGGGATGATTTTTTCCAGAAGCAGAGTGTGCTCTGGCACAAAGCCTTTTCCCTACATGGGAAAACCTGCTCCTCCACATCCCTGTAAAGTCAGCSGAGCAGAATGCCAGCACGCCGAAGAACTAATCTCCTGAGCTGTCACAACACACGCGCGACGCCGGGAGGGAGCTGGGAACGGCTCCTCTGACATCCCAGCTCACAGCCCTGAGCCTCCATGGTGCTCTGCACTTCTCCCGGGAACGTGGCATAACTGGGGAAGAATTTGAGTATTTAACCAGGATTTCAGATGCTCTTTTGTCCAGCCCAGATACTTCTAAAATCAGTTCCACTYCACAGCRTTACAGCASTGAAGAAAAGAAATGTTTGCATTTTACTGTTGGCAAAGTCAGATGGAAAAAATGGAGCAATAAGGGAGATTGTTCTTAGTAAAACAAGTGGTGGACACAAAATCCTTCTCTTACACATGTGCTTTACTGCAGATGTAGTTTACGAGCCCTTTTAAAACACTTATCTGCATTCCATCATTACCTATGAGGATATAAGGATGTGTGTTCTCACACTGTTTATGTAACCATTTTTCATCAATCATGATATAATCTATTCATAATTTACAGTATTTATCTATGTATCTATTTTCCATTAATCAAGATTAAATATATTTATAATCTAATCTAAATTTTATYCACATGAGCTGATTCCCAAAGACTCAGCATGTAAGAATCCAGCAATGGGGTTTGGACCCAAATACACCCAATTTCACAGAATCATGGATATCCTGAGTTGGAAGGGACCCACAAGGAAGATGGAGTTCCATTCMTGGTCTCAGTATACTGCAGCTCATTTAGCACAGAGAATTTTCCTTTGCTCAGTTCTAAGTGCAAAGATGACATTTCAAAYCCTGGTATCCCACAAACCACTCCTCATTTCCAGAGAAATATCTCATTTTCAGGCAATTACAGTTTGCAGGTAGTGGCGATGAAGTTATGCTGGGTTTACRTGTGAGAAATGAAAGCACTGAGCGAAGAACACAAAGGCAGCCGCCCTTTGTTCCCACAAGAAGGAGATAAAAGACAGACTTCAAGCCCGACGATGGAACGGGAAACCCGCTGCTTCCCGTCAATGGCAGCAGCGCTGAATCAAGGGATCTCACAACCTGCCCCTCCACCCTCTTGCAATTTTAAAATGTGGCACAATTGTCATTTCTGCCCATTGATTTGAGAGCAGTGAGTCAGCTGCAGGCTGGGGACTCCCTGCGAGTGGCAGGCGGGAAACAAAGCTGCAAACATGGCTGGAAACATGGCTGGAAACACAGCAGCCGTCGAGGAGGATAAAGCAGAGAGCAGCTWTAATGTGCTGCTGGCGCTGAGCTGCCAATGTAGGTTTTAAAAAAGCAAAAYAAAACCTGTTGTTGCCCAGAGAAGCTGTGGCTGCCCCATCCCTGGGAGTGTCCACGGCMWGGCTGGACAAGGCTTGGAGCAACCTGGGATAGTGGAAGGCATCCCTGCCCACTCCAAGGAGTGGAATGAGATGAGCTTTAAGGTCCCTTCCAACCCAAACCATTCCATGATTGTGATTCCATGATTTTAGCCTCTGATTG